ATTTGCAATGCATTTAATAATGACATCAATATGCTATGTTAATAAATTTTATGTATTTTAGGCACCTCCAAAAGCTGTACCAAAGACTATTGAAAATCAGCGAGTGTATGATGAAACCACTGTAGATCCCAATGATGAAGAGGTAACTGCATGTGCTAAGAAGTTAACCATTTTTTTTCTAACCAGGGACATAAACTCCTTGATGAAACTGAATAATCCCCACTTTCCTGTTAATCTGCTGATGAATTACTTTCTACATGTGGTGGGTTTACTAAGAGGTGATGTCATTCTTTCATTATCTGTATTAAATAATTGCAGTTCTGATATTGGTGGTAACAGCTGCCCACTTTCATCACACTAGATTCTTAAAAACATGAAAACCACATGCCTTCGGGTGATGAATTACAGACTAGATCTTGTGGATTAAAATTTAGATCAGATTGAACAATTGTTCCTCAGGTATTTCATACATGATGGATTTAACAAATTTCTGTTCTTCCAGGTTGCTTTTGATGAAGCAACTGATGAATTTGCACCATACTTTAATAGACAGACTGTTCCCAAAATTCTTATTACAACATCAGACCGACCTCGTGGGGTACGTATGTTTTACTTGGAAACCAAATGGTTATAAGATACCAGGGTTTTCCTGTGATTGCTACATTAAAACTGAAGATAATAGCATTCACATGGATTTTTTCTTTCATTTTATTTAGTGCCCAACAATAACCTTTTATGTGTATGTAATCCATTGGTTTCTCTAGCACTATTTGTTTTCTCCATTTAAAAAAACCCAGCCTTGTGCATGTGTTCTTGTATTGAAATGATCATCGTTGCCTGATTGAAGAGATTACTGGCATTTTTGAAAACCATAAAATAAATTACTTTAAAAATAAGAAAAAATACACCTCAAACAGTTTATCTGAAAACTCAGACGTGAGTTCATGAAGAAATAGTTACATTGTGTTTTGAGATGCTGTGAACTTTTTGTAAACCAGTGTCCTTGATGAATAATGAGTGTGGAGAGTATGCTTTTTGCATTTCCCTGCTTTTCTGTGAAAAAAAAGTCCTTAAAAAATCTCTGGTGTGCTGCATTCTTTACTGCAAAAAAATTTTTTTGCACTAACAGAATGAAGTAATTTAATAGCTTATCTTCAAATCTTTGTAGAGATACTGGAAGTAATATATGCTCAGGGAGTGTAGCTGGAATGAGCAACCCTCTGTTCTCCTGTCAGCTGAATTCAGTGCTGAATTCTGCACATTGCAATGTAACTCCCCTGTTTTGCAGAGAACAGTGAGATTCTGTGAGCAGCTGGCTACTGTTATACCCAACTCACACGTGTTCTATCGAAGAGGGCTGGCTTTGAAAAGAATCATTCCACAGTGTATCGCAAAGGACTTCACGGATTTAATTGTCATTAACGAAGATCGCAAAATACCAAGTATCCTTTTGTGGATTTAAGGAAAGGAAACAATTCTGTCATGTGCATCAGAGATATACTTTATTCTGTTTTCTTTCTCTACAGGGTGCAGATTACAGACCTAAAAATCACTGTACCAACTTGAGTGTCTGATGGCTTATGGAACTTGGAATTATTGAAGAAAGTAGATACCTTGGCACTTTTTTGTTGTTTTTAGTGCATGGATAAGCACTGTTATTATTTCAGTAAATGTATTAGTTTGATTAATTAACAAATTTTTCTGACCAGGAAAATCCTTTATTTTTTTTCTGGCTAGATAAAATATTGCAAATTCATTAAGTGAGAAAGCAATAGAGGATAACCTTTGTTAGCATGTAATGGACATCCTTCAGAAAGCTAGTTAATTAGTTTGGGAGTGTATGTTTGAACATACAACAAAACCTTGGGCACAGATTATGGATCTAAACCTCTAATGTAATACTGCATTTTGCATTGAATGTTCCTCTGTACATTACGTGCTTGATTTTACCAGCCTTTTCTTTAACTTGGTGCACAGATGGTCTTGTTTTAAGTCACCTGCCTGATGGTCCAACTGCTCATTTTAGAATGAGTAGTGTGCGTTTGCGTAAAGAAATAAAGGTGAGACTCAAAATTTGAAAAACTGATTATCTCTTGGTTAATGATAAATACATCCAGTCTACTTCAAATGTCAAAACTGCACTTTGATATGATTCAGACTGATCTTGTAAATGTGATTTTTTGGTAAGGTAACAGGAGGCTGAGGACTGGTGTATTCTACTTCATAAGCAGCATATTTCCATTTTTAAGTTTATTTGCTGTATTTCTTTACTGCCAAGTATAATCTGACAAGTGTTTTTAAAATCATATCATTAAATAGCAGACGATAACCTACATCAGTAGGAAATACCCCATGTCTAGCATACACACAATAGGGTATATAAAATCACCAGTGTAAAAGGTTTCATCAGACGTAGTTTGTCTTGAATAAAACCTAGTTCTTGTTCCTACAGCCCTGTCACCTCTTTGTAGTATTGCTTACTTAGCCCTAAGGAATTTGCAGTAAATGGGTTTTCTTCTTTGAAATAAGTAATCTCTAATTCGTTTTTATTAAAGAAGCCCATATACTCTCAGTCCCGTATATCCCTAGTTGGTATGAGTACAGAGGGAGTACTCCTATGATAGGCAGAGTGCATTATCTGCTATAACAGGTTCTGCTAAGAGTAAAAAATGCAGGAGAAAACATTATTCGTGCTTTTTCATTGAATTTATATTGTTGAACCAAGGATCCTTGTTACCAGCTGCTCCTTATTTATGAACTTAGGTTGTGTTTGCAGAAATTATTAGGGTGTGGTTTTGGCCCTGTCTTCCTATTTCACACACTTCTTTGGTAAGACATTAAAATCCTTTTGCATTCAATCTGTTCTTTGCATTATTACTTGGATTTCAGCGGAAAGGGAAGGAGCCCACGGAACACGTCCCGGAGGTGATCCTGAATAATTTCACAACGCGGCTCGGCCATTCCATCGGCCGCATGTTTGCTGCTCTCTTCCCACACGACCCTCAGTTCATTGGAAGACAAGTAGCTACATTTCACAACCAGAGAGACTACATCTTTTTCAGATTCCACAGGTGACATTTTCTACAATACTCACTCACAAGTGCAAGAGAATACTCTTGTAATTTAATTCCTAATTTTAATTATTTTCTTCCCCAAGATATATCTTCAAGAGTGAAAAGAAAGTGGGAATTCAAGAACTTGGGCCACGTTTCACATTGAAGCTGAGGTCACTTCAAAAAGGAACCTTTGATTCCAAATTTGGAGAATATGAGTGGATTCATAAGGTATGTCTTAGTAATGATAGTAGTTCTGCTTGGGGAGGCTAAATCTGACATGAAATGTCACCAAGAATCTTACCCTAGAAGAGGGTTATAAATGCAGTTCTCAGTGTGGAAGTGTTTAACTTAAGTATTTAGAGGTATATTTTTGAAATCATGCAAAGCAGAAACATCTTCCTGTATTTCAAGTGAAAAATAAAAACAGCAGGGACAATGAATGTCAATATACCATAACTACTTATTTGCAACTCTGCTGTACAATAACGACATTTCACTGTCTGCCGTGCTGTAAAATGGAGTAGTCATCCTTGTTTGTTTCATCCAGTTGCATGAACTTGCTGGTAAACAACTTTTCTTCTAAATTTCAGCGTCGAGAAATGGACACGAGTAGAAGAAGATTCCACTTGTAAGTGAAATCTGCCAGTTGCTGGTGACCAGGAATACAGCAGCTGCTTTCAACTAGGGATGATCTTGGACTACTAATGATAATGATACTGAACAGTATCTGTCTGCAGAAAGACAACAGCAATCATTAAAACTTTCTACAGCAGCAGATAAGTAGGATGTGCCTCTCTTCCTCTTTGTAGCCAACGTGACAAGGACAATGACTTCTTCCAGCTTAGCAGGGAAAACTATTGACTGTGTTTGAGCAACTTGTCATTTAGCTATCACTAAGGATTTGCCAGAAGTGCTGCTGTGCTGTAGAAACAGATTATGCTTCACAACATCAAAGACAGCAAATATGTTGGTTAAAGAAATTTTCAAAATAAAGTATTTCTAGTTTTACAGTTTCATTTTATTTTTTCTGTTAACCCAGACATCTTCAGTTAATCAGGTAGGAGATAAGTATTTGAAACTTATTTCTAACTCATGTTGTGCTGTTCCCTGATGGTATGGGGATAGTTTTCCAAAAAGGTTCTCCTATCCAGAGAACATGGAGAAGGCAGTATGCAATCCATGAAATCCATGGTATTTTATTTCATTAGCATTTTGCATAAAATAGGCATGTTGCTGAAGTTACAAAAACAATATGCATCACTCCTATAGGCATCTCTTCTCTAAGTATTACATTAACAAGAAGTCTGTATACCCAAAACAGTAAAAACAGTAGAAAGGATGGGAAAGAATTTGTAAAATCCCCTAACAGGATGTTCATAAAGCTGTCATCTAAAAATGCTGCTCAGTAATTATCTGAGGTCCCTGAGCAGGGTTTTCCCCGTTAAAATTTTAAATATGCTTCTTCAGCCTCACAGCAACACTCAAGTTTGTATTATCTGCACATCACCTACTGTTTTGCCTTAAGTGGGCACATTCACTGGCAGCTAAAAGGTCAAGTTTGCTTTGAGCTACTTTCTTTTCATATACAGCTGTAAGTGCTTTTTCATATTTACCTACTGAATAAGAAGGCACATAGAGTAAGTTGTCTCCTAGGGTAGAATTACTCATTAAGATTAATTTACTCGGTCTTAATGTGATGTCTATGATATGGCATAGCTGTATAGCTGAATTATAAACAGTCCCAATTTTTTTTCTGTTCTATTTCTGTTGTGCTTCTAAGTATGGTACTGCTGGAGCCTCATTGTTCTGAAGGACTGTTAACCCCAGGCAGACTTGCAGCAGCAGAGAATATTTACACTCTTCTCTGCTCTCCAGCTGCTGCAGAGTGATGCACTGACTGTGAGGTGCCACCATGCCCAGAAGTTAATCAAATTCTTACAGTAATTTCAAGACCAGACTAAATCAAGACACTTTATTTTCTGCTTGGCATATAAAACTGATTCCCACGTGAAACAGAAATACGTAACTAGCGTACAGTTCATCTGGAGAGGTAGATGGTGAGAAGTTTGACGACAGTAGCACTTTTAGAGTTAGATTTGGCACGTTAAAGCTAAGCTTTTTTACAGACTTCAAACCAGGCCACTCCTTGAGGCACTCTGCCCATACACACATCAGTGGGTAGGAAAAGATGCTAAAAGATCTGAAAAACAAAAAACCAAAATCTAGTTAGAAAGGTAACACTGCTGAATGAAGCAAATCAAAGAATACTTATGTTTCAGAGTACGCCATGGACAACCATTTAGGAAAATATATCTCCTTTTTCCACAGCTGTTGTATTAGTTTAAAAAATAAACTTTAAATCAAGTCATGCCCAAAGATACAATAAGGTAATCAAAGCTCTTATAAAAGAACTGAAGCTTAGTGTCTCCTTGAAACCAAACTGCTAAATGGAAGGATAGAAGAAGCTGTTCCCAGTCACTTTCTGCTCATCAAAACACCAGGCTTCTATTTTGCCTTTGAAAAGCAGAGAATTTGTTGTATAACTAACAAATTACACTTCTTCCTCAGTGAGGTGGTGCTGACTGTGCAAACACAAACACTACTGGCTCATCAGGAAAACACAAGGAATCACCTCCTTTCAGGAAGTGCCTGGAACAGATACTGCAAAGTGAAGGAGTTCCACATATAGGTAGTGTAAAAACAGAAATTAGTTCCATTCCAAAGGCTGTAGCAAAGAAAACATTAAGCCTCCTATGCCCTGTGTATGCAGGTGTGGTGTGAGACAGTGGAAACATTGTTTCCCTACATCCACACTCAGGAATCCAGGATTTTCTTAACCTTGGCAAATCTCAGTGGGGAATTGTATGTGTCACAGATTAAATACAGTTTATTTGGCTTTGTGTAAGTTTTCAGTCTATAATGCTTACAGATGATCTGATTTCTTCCTTGGATTAGTGCTTACAACTGAAGCTACACTAGTGTAGCATCTGAGAGTATTTTTTAAATAACAGTAATTAGCAAAAATTCACAACAGAAGTAACTTTAAAAGCTACAAGAACTCTAAAGCACATTTCAGTTATACTGTTGTAATTCACTGCTCAAAGCAATGTGGGATGTGGTATTGCTTGTTAAATAGTTAAGGATTAACTTCTATACTGCTACTACTCTGGCCTTTAAACATAGTTATTCTGGTGGTACACACATATGGAACTTTTCTACAGCCTGCTTGAGGGGAGAACAATTTTAACAATTCAATCTGACTGTGGTCACCCTTCCATAAAGCTGCCTAACAGCACAATTTACATCTAGCAATCTGCAGTTCTCTGGATGATAGAAGTCAGCTACACAACCAGAATTTTTCAAGGTTAAGACTCACTATGAGATATGTAAGGACTCTGAACTGTGGTTAACTCTATCAGGTGCTTTGAAATAACGTCTGTGCTCTCACCTCCAGCCAGATCCATGTCAGGCAGCAACAGGAAGAGGGAACATGGTAAAATCATCATGTATTTACTGTGGTCAAAATAACAGTTATTGTGACTCTCTGAATTTTGGTGAAACTATTGTGGATCTAAAATTCACCTTTCTAAAGAGGTTAGCCTAAAATTAGTAGTGCTAATGAACCTATGAAAGTCCTGGAATGAAAATCCAAATGAGTATTCCATTGTTTCTAGTTATCTAAACTGCTACCCCTGTTAGTAGCTTACTTGAGTGGCATATGGGCTTTTAAAAGTAAATACTTCTTAAAAAGTATATACTTTTTTATTTTGGCAGAGAGGGCATCTCCCCCGCCAACAGTGGTCAGTGCTCTTCTTGGGGACTACCACCACTAATCCGTTTTTGGAACTGTTCTTTAAAAGCTTTAGAACTGAAGTCTGTTTTATCTGCCACAATCAGGATTCACCACATACGCTGTCAGGTGATTAATTCTATGTGAGAAAAGGGAAATAATACCCTTACAGAGAGGAAGATGCAGCACAATTACTGTTAGTCCAAAGAGCAGCTCAGTAGTATCTGGTCCCACCATTTTGCTACACAAACTGGTGGAAGCTCTGCAACAGCAAAGTGCTGCTCATAACACCAATGACCAGCACGTGTCCAGTACAGAGCTGTGACCAGAAAAACAGAGAAGGGACCAAAAATGGGGATCTAGACCAACACCAGCTGCATAAGTCAGATGTTTCTGAGTGCCTTTCATACGGCCTGTCTCATTTAAATGACAAAAGAGTTTATGAATTGTAATTCAAGAACTTACCACTGAAAGATACTGAAGTAGTTCATATAATTACAAAAATGAACAAACTTTCTGGGGTCTGAATGGATTTGTACTTGATGATACTCCCGTCAGTAGGGGATCATGTTGTGCATTCTGCAGGCAGAATTGCTTCAAGTCAGCTGCAGCTTGAGAAACCTAGTTACAATAAAAGCTGGCATTAGAATTCACTGAACACTCTTTACAGAAGATGTGGTTTTTACATTGCAAAGTATAAAGAATACTACTAAATTATTCTGCACATTGCAAAGTATAAAGAATGGTATAAAGAATACTACTAAATTATTCTGCACTATAGTTTATGTAGATTTTATGCAATAATTTCATTGTAGTTCTTTTTGTTTCTTAAAGACAAGAAGATGAACAATGTAAGAATGAGAACTGATTTGGAAGTTTAAATATCCATGTTAAACTTTTAAGTATGAAGGGTGACACATGAGCAAGAGCTTGGAGATTACTTAATTAAATATATGAAGATCCTTGTTCTAGCATAAACAGTTCAAAAATACCGTCTATGGTTTAACATGTTCTACTCAACTGAACTCGCATTTCAGGCTCCCTTGGAAAGCCATCCTTATGATGAGATAATGGGGTTCTGAGCACCCTTAAGGGGTTTTTGTCATGCTGTACCTTGCAAAAAACTGATCAGTGAAAAATTCTTTGTCTTGCTTTTCTTTGCTGTAACTCTGAACTCATGCAATAGAACGATAGAAGTTTCAAAAAGTTGCATCTTCCACTGACACTCGGTATGTGCAGTTTGCCCGGTTTCTCTGCCGTGCCAGGCGCGGTCTCGCCCCGGCGCGGCACAAGTTCAATGCACTTCGTGTGCCTGGCAGCGACATCTCCATCTTGCCGTGCCGGGCCAGCCCAGCCTGTTGCGCGCCCCGCCTCGGGCGGCCTCTCCGCAGAGCCCGAAGGAAGGGCGCTCCTCGCTCCGAGGGCACGAGCGGGCAGCCCGGGCCGCGTCCATCGCCCGGGGGAGCGCTCCGGCCGGGGAGCGGGCCCGAGGGGCGGCGGGCAGCGAGCGGCAGAGCCCCGGGCAGGGGTGGCGGCGGAGCGGACGCGGCTGCGCTGCCGATCCGGGCTCGCCTCGGCCGGGGAACCCCGAGGGAGCCCCGGGAGAAGCCCGGACGCCGGCGCCCAGCGGGGTCCGCGGGGCGGGGCAGGTGGGAGCCGGCGGCCCCGGCCCGGCGGGCGCGGCCCCGGGGCGGTGAAATGGCGGCGCGTCCGCCCCGTCCCGTCGCGGCTCCGCGCTCACCTTCACGCGGGTCACACTCGCCTCCAGGCGCAGCTGCTGCACCACCTTCTTCATGGCCGCCACGTTGGAGGAGCCCGACATGGCGGGGTCGGCGGCGGGCTCGGCTCGGCACTCGCGGCACTCCCAGCACAACTTCCCGGCGCGGCCACAACTGCCCGGACCGCGGCGCCTGCGCAGCCGGGGCCGGGGCGGGCGGGGCCGCTCCGTGTGCCCGGGACGGGGACCCGCCCGCGGGCACAGAAACAACCCCCGCCCTCACGCACTGAGGGTGGGGACTGGCGCGGGAGGATGTTTTCACACCAAGGTGGCGAATCTTGGTGATAATATCCACTGGGTTCCAAGTTTGGAGGTTATTTTGAGATGCAATGAATGAAGTTCCTTAGTTCGTGCTAGCAGTTTGAGTGCTGACTGTAGCCTGGAGGAGCAGCTTGTAGTCCCAGTTCATGGCAGAAAGTGCCCGGGAGCGGCAGTGAAGTGGGAATGGGGTGACATCGGGTACTGCAAAGGGCAGCATCTTCCCTGTAGGCGGGAGCAATGGCAGGAGCCCGTGCTGTGGCCGGGAATGACGGGACAGCGACGGGTGCCACACTCGGGCCACTGGGGCAGCTTGCGAGTAAAGACACAGGCCCTGTTAAGTAGGTATTTCCCACTGACATCGGGAAATCTGAATTCCACAGCGCCAGAGTGAGACTTGGAAGGTCCGGTCATTTATGCTCAAGAGCAGGTGAATTAGAAGTAGCTGGGGTAGAGGCAGGAGGAGTAGAGAGATCTCCTGTTGAGAGCAGAACAGCACCTGAGTTCAGCAGGTGAAAATCCAGAGGAGGTTTGTAACCTCGGAGAGGCTGGAAGAGCCGTCACAGCGAGAGCACCAAGGAAACTCCTAACAAAAAGAGAAAGATGAAACATGCTTTTTAGCAGGGCCTGTTGCAATAGGACCAGGGGAATGGTTTTAAACTAAGAGAGATTAGAGATGAAGTTTTTCACACTAAAGGTGGTAAAAGTGTGGAACAGATTAACCAGAGGGGGGAATAGTTTTAAACTAAGAGAGAGTTGATTAGAGATGAAGGTTTTCACACTAAAGGTGGTCAACAGATTAACCAGATTAACCAGAGGTGGGAGATGCCCCACCCCTGGAAACATTCAAGGTCAGATTGGACTCGGGGGTCTGGACAACCTGGCCAAGTGGGAGGTGACCCTGCTCACCGCAGGGCTTGGACTAGCTGACCTTCAAAGGTCCCTTCCAACCCGAACTGTCCCATGATTCTATCATAATGTTAGGACAGAACCATGGTTATAATTTATGGAAGTATTTTTCTGACATGGTTGCCCAGCACAGTCACGTTTCCTCGGAACACTGCATTTGGCTGGCACAATGTGTTTGCTTCCGTTCACAATAATTCACTTTATCAGATCCAGGTCCTGCAAGAATCTTGTTTTGTGGAGCTTTATGTCTGTGTCTTTAGGAAAACAGTGGAAGTATGTAGAAAATTGTATACTACCAAAATATTTTTATGAAAGGGGAGAAAACGTTAAGAGGAAATGTTCTGTGGCAGATCTCTTAGAGGTGCAGGGCTATGATTTAGCAATTCCCCCAGTTACTTAGGTGATGATCACTTGTGTAGAAGGTGTGGTTGATTCTGTTTGCAGTTAGCTGGAAGCTTTCTGCCTCAGCACAGACACAACTTCCATTTTCGTAAGTGGAATGAAGATCAGTAAATGAAAAAAGGATATTAATGGAGGACTTCTGTCATAACAGATTATCATGAAACTCATTCTTAAAGAATGCTTCAATCAAGAAGAAAATTAGAAAGGCCACCTGGCATTTGCTGTGGTCACATAGAGGGATGAACATGTCATTGAGTCAAATGAGACCTCAAACTTCACAGGTGAGAGTTTTTGTACTTTTCCACACAGGTTTTTTTTGGATTTCACGAGCAAAAAATAAGAATACATTAAAATAAGGTTCTAGAATACCTGAGAGGAAAAAAGATGTGCTTTTAAAATATTATATATAGAGAATTATTTTATAGTTCATATTAAGTAACTCAACACTTGCAGAAATATTTAATATAGCTCATGTGCGTGGCTTTTAGTTAAAGGGAAATGTATCATACTTGTCAATACTGATTTTTACTAAAGATATCAAGAGCTGGAAATTAGCAGTGCAACAACTACCACGGGTCCAAACACAGCCCAAGTGAACCTTGCTCAGCTTAGTTATTCTTTTTGCAGACATTAGCAGGAACATTTTTGTGTTTCCAATGTAGCTAATATTATTAAACAGTCAGAAATATTATGAACTTTTTTTCTTGATAACACAATCAAGTTGTGGTGCTATTAGAATCAAGCTTTCAGGGCTTTGCATTTTTTTTTGAGATGAACAAAGGTAGGATTTCAGCTGAGGGATTTTTGTAGTCATGACACTCTCCAGAGTATCAGCTGGTTTTGATAAAATCTCTCCATTGCTGTCACAGTGATACACAGCAGTAGCACAGGCTCTCTATTATCTCACTTCCATTGGGGAGCTTGTTCTAGTGTGACTTATTTTGATGCTGTCAGCTGTCACTCAGTCACAAATTACTCTGCTGTACTGTTCTCACCATCTGGTCATCGCTGTGAGACAGGGCCTCCCTGTTCTAGTCCCTGTGCTAATACCAAAGGAACCATTCCTGCTACACAAATTGGAAGTCCACCTAAACAAAACAAAGTGTTTAGGAAGAGGATGATAATACATTTACATGTGTTCTTTTTTCTAGCTGTTGGAACTTCATGTTTTTTATGTCCCAGCAGAAGTGTGGAATTTCAAGCTGAATACAGTTCCTGTAGCTCTTACTAGCAAATTCGTCTCAGCTGGATTTATAAGGTGAGTGTAGTTTTAGGTTTCGTGTACATGGTAGGTCCTTCACACTGTCCTTCAGTCCAACTTTTAGTCCAACTGTTGCTCTAGAGAGCAAAATTACATCTGCAGCAGAAACTTGTTGTCTAATTAAATTTTTGGACTGTAAGTGGTGACCATAGCTACCATTATGTAAATTTGTACTGTATCAGGCTTAGCTCCCTTGTAGCTCGTGGTGTAGACACTGAAAAGCAGTTCCAGAGCAGTGCTGGTATTTCTGTAGAATGATTTATATTGTAAAATCATGTCTTACATTCTTTCTGTCTCCTTGAGCCAGATTATCAAAAGCTGGAATTCTTTTGGGCAATGGACCAGCTTCAAGAGAGTGGCTTGATGAAGACAGGATAGCCTGTCAGTTCCCAGGATCAGGGGCATGATGATCTGAGCTCTCTCAGTCCAGAGAAAGAGCTGAAGCCTTGTTTCTCAAGGGGAAGCATTACAACCCACGAACCAGCAGCATTTCCTCTTTCTTCTTGAAAGAAGAAAGTGAAAGGCTGTGAGAACACCATGTACCGTGTGTGCTCTCAGATAGCTGTTTAAAGGACTTAGTGAAAGAATACCCTGGTTCCAATCCTAGGCTCAAACCTGGCACAAGGAGTTGCATTTTTCATCTGTCATAACTTTGAAAGTTTTTTAAATACTTCTAAAACACTTTGCTCACAAAATCTAGTATCTAGTGTGAGGAGAAGTTGTAGAAAAATCAAATAATGTAAAGATGTGTATTGAAACTGAGCTTTTAGATACAACTTGTCTACATCTGTGCAAAACCTGTCCATTCAGCTAAAACTACAGGGAATACAGGTTTTAATTAGTTTAAACTGAGTCTTGTATTATCCACTTAAGACAATGTGCAGTGTAGCTGAGAAGACTGACAGCAATCAGGTAGGAGCATGTAGGGCAGAATGTATTCATTCTCACAGCTGCTTTTGTTGAAAGGCTGCTCTAAACCAGATAAAATAAGTGCATATACCCATTTTGTTTCCTGTTCTAGTCTGCAGCAGAGGTGCAGAATGCATATCTGAAGTGGTAACTTCATTTCACATCATGGACATCTGCCACTGCCCTATATTTTCTAGTTTAAATTTATTTCAATGAGGCATCAAATTAAATTAGGATCCTCACTGATTTCAGTGGGTTTATATCTGCCTGGATATTGTTGCTTGCCAATGACTCTTAGATAATTGCTAATTAATTCTTCTATGGGTACTATGCAATGCTGCAATACATTAGCATTAACATAACTAGTACCTGGCCAGTGAATCACTGTCTTTAAAAATGAAAAATATTTTTTAAAACTTCTTTTATTGTAATCCAGGAGAGGAAATGGCAGCCTTGCTGGTACTCCTGTGGCTTGGACGCTGTTGATAGCTCTGTTGTTCAGTCAGCTTGACAATCCTAGTGCTGTCTGAGTCAGCTTTCCAAAGAATTCCTAGGTCAAAGTACAGGCCATTTCCATTAGCCGTGAAATTAGAGGAAGATGTTAAAGGTGTAATTGTCTATGGCCCTGAGCTCTTGTTCCCATGAATTTGATATCTTAGCCTCTGTGAGCTTTTCTTTTTCATTCCTCATTCCTCACCACAGAAGCCAAACTTTTGTTCTTTCTAGAGAGATGGCTGCAATGAGCTCTAGTTTGCATTACTTTTAAAGGGGCACCCTGAAGCAAGTTACTTGTATGTGACTGTTTTCTGCCAGCCAGTGGCAGCAAGTGACAGACTAATGTTATTGCATTTTCCTAGCAGCTGCACTGGCAAATAATTTTGAGATAAATTTCTGCCCTATATCTCAGGATCTGGATACCCAGATACTTTTCCCCCATTATACATTGTAGATGTGTCCACTCTGCAGACTCTGGTCTCCTCTGCCTCGTGCCTGTGCTCCAGGGCAATTTTATGACCTTAAGGAGGGCCCTCTAAGTTCAAGATATTTGACAGAATACAAGGCAAGCATTGTAGCCCACTGAAGTGTTGTGTTCATGAGATGAAAATGGCAGTGTTTTTCTACATGCTTGAGGTGTGAACTGAAGGCCTATAGGGCTGCTTGGAAGTACAAACAAGCCTTGACAGGGTAATGTTGAAGACCTGTTCAAATGGCAGAGCTGGCATGTTTCTGTCTATACTGGCTGCTGAGAATGGCATGAGCTATCCCCAAGCTGTGCCTGTGCATTGTTTGAGGAGTGAGAGCTGCCTGGGCCAAAATCATCCTACCACTTAATCAGAGTGGGTGATTAACAGTCTCAGGCCTGCATTTGTTCCCTGGTTTCTTATATGGCAGCTTAGAACAATTA